ACCAGCTGACCCGGCTGCCCACCGGCCTGCCCGCTGGCCTGCACACCCTGCGGCTGCAGCGAAACCAGCTGCGAGCCCTTGAGCCTGAGCCGCTGGCTGGCCTGGACCAACTTCAGGAGCTCAGCCTGGCACATAACCGGCTGCGTGTGGGCGACATCGGGCCTGGCACCTGGCACGAGCTGCAGGCCCTCCAGGTCAGGGGTAGACTGGTTAGCCACGCTGAATGTCCATGGGTGTCCCCACAGCCCCTCCAGCAGCCCCCGGCCTGCCCAGTCCTCCCTGACAGGGCCCTGGAGGCTAAAAAGAGAGCCCCCACTGTAGGCCAGTCCTGGGGTGGGCAAGACAGATCCAGGCTCCAGGCCTTGGCCTCTGCGACCACCCCCTCACAGTCCCCAGTGAATTCCGCAGTCTCTGGCTCCTTCTGAGCACTGCTGATGCCACAGAATTTAGTGCACCTGTGGGTGCCAAGCACTGTTCTAGACACTGGAGATGCTGCTGGGCACAGAACGACACAACTCCTGGTCCCTGGCACAAACACCCTAGTTAGGGGGAAAGCAACCAACAACCACAAGTGAACAGTGGAGGGTTAAAGGGCACAAGGAGGCAAGGGAGTACCATCTCTGTGAGTGACAGACTGAATCGCTGGCGCCCACAGCAGGCAGGGACCCTGTCTGTCTGGCCCTTCCACCATCTAGGACAGGGCCAGCCCAAAGGGGACTCAGTTTATTTCTGTTGAGAAGAGGAATTTGGCAGCCATGAAGTAGGTGAGGGGAGGGGGCAGAAAGACTGGGCTGGAGGTAGAGGGGCAGGAGGCCCTGGGGGGAGAGTGGTTTGGGGCTTGGCTGAATGGGTAGCCCAGGGCTTGAGGCAGCCATGGTGCCATCTCTGCCTGCTTGCCCAGGTGCTGGACCTCAGCCACAACGAGCTGTCCTTCGTGCCCCCCGACCTGCCCGAGGCCCTAGAGGAGCTGCACCTGCAGGGCAACCGCATCAGCCATGTGGGCCCCGAAGCCTTCCTCAGCACGCCCCGCCTGCGTGCCCTCTTCCTCAGGTGCCCTGTGGGTGGCTGGGCCAGGCAGGTCCAGGTGGACGGGGCAGGCTATGGGCTGTGGTGGATGCAAGCAGGTTCAGGGGTATCAGGGTAATTGTGGCTTCCTCCCCTCCAACCCACTCTCACGCCTGCCTCTCGGTCCAGGGCAAACAGGCTTCACATGACCAGCATCGCCCCTGAGGCCTTCCTGGGCCTCCCGCATCTGCGCATGGTGGACACGACAGGCAACCTCGAGCATGTCTTGGTCCGGCTGCCGCCCACAGCCCCACGTCAGCCATGGGCAGGGGGCCCCTGAGCCTGGAGGGGCCCAAGCAGAGCAGCCAGACCCCTGGGGCTCAGCTGGGCCGTGGACTAAGGAGACAGCACCCACCTGGAGCCTCGATCTGGCTCTCCCAGGGATGGAGAGTTGGGCCTGCCTGACCTGTGCTGGCCAGGACGCTGGGACGGGGCGCCACAGCGACACACAGGGAGCCCGGGAGAGACTGAAGCGTGCACCTCACACGCCAGACGTGCAGGCAACTCTGACTCTGCTAGACACTTCCCGACTGCCCAGGCAGATGGAGACGGCAATAATAAAGCCTAGCCCTTTCAAGTGCTCACCACCGACCAGTGCCCTTCAGCTTGGGGGAGGGGCCCTTGTCGCCCCCGCGTGCAGCTGGGGAAGCTGAAGCTCTGGGACGCTAAGTGGGTCAAGCAACTTGGTCCAGGTCCTGCGGCCAGTGAGCGAGAGGGCTGGCTTTCGAGGCCTTGAGACACACATGGGTCACTAAGCACCACCACGTGTGACCTGACCACATGGGTAAACCAAGATAGTCCCAAGGCCACCAGCTGAAGAAACATACGCAGATGCCCTCAGGCCCTCGTGACACACGTGAAGGCCTTCACATGTATCCCCACAGCAAGTGTGTGAGGAGAACACATCCCTCACAGGCACACTCCCCTCAGCCTGCCCCCCTCGCGGGCACCTCTCCGTCTGCTCCCAGGGGAGCTGTCGGGGGACACCCAGCCAGGCACTGAGGGCAGGAGCAAGACACAAAGGCAGGACAGAGTGAGCCGGGTGTGGCCCTGGCTGTTTATTCTGTGTGTCAGCCCTGGGGGCCCAGCTGGGCCAGGGCAACCCTCTGCGGAGCCAACCAGGCTCTGGCTGGCCTCAGTGGCTTCTTTGGGGTGTAGGTGGACTTCGGGGTTAAGGCTGGGAGGGGCAGGAAGTAAAGTGCTTGCAGGGGCCCTTGGGGCTTGGTCCTAGCAGCCCTCCCACCTTGGAGGAAGGCAAGGCGCCGCACACCCCTGGGCTGTGCAAACGGACTCTCTGGGCCCCCCCCAGCCAGGCCTGGGTGAGGGGCACACACAGGCTGGCGGATACCATCCCCAACGCCCCCTGCCAGGGAGGCTCCAGCCAGGCTGGGTGGGCCCAGCGGGGGAACATGTCCATCCAGAGCCGATTGTCCATTGATTGTCTGCTCATCTGGTCGGAGTCTGTGGCCATGTTAGCTCCTCCCAGAGCGGGGGCCTCGGGCTTGCTCCCCGCTCTCCAGGGGCCGCCCGTGCTGTCAGCCCCTCACCTGCGGAGCCGTTGCAGCTGAGGGAGAGGCCGCTGGGGTCAGAGTATGGGACAGGGCCGCAGCTGCCCAGCCCCTGCCCCCAGTGCCCAATCTGCTCACCTCACTCTCGACCAGGTTCCGTCGATACAGGGCCTCCTTTGCGGCCTCCTGGGGTGGGGCGGTGGGCAACAGGTGGTCAAGGGGCAGCCCCTGGCAGCCCTGACCCCCAAACACCCGTCCAGCCCTCGCCCGGCTCACCCTGCTGCCGTCACTGCCCAGGCGCCGGGCGGCCTCCGTGTAGAACTGCAGCTGACGCTCCAGCTGGGCCGCGTACTCTGAGGGAGGAAGGGGGTCAGGATGGGGCTGGCTGCCCCCGGCCCTCCCCCACGGGCCCATCCCTGAGCTCCTACCCCGCCGGATGCCTGGGCCCCCTTGCTCCAGCTGTGCCCTCTGCCACTGGCTGCGTTGTGTGATGTCCTGGTACTGCTGGGCCACCTCCGGGGGCACCGGCCGCCTTGCCTGCCTGAGGGCCAGGATCTAGGGGGTGCAGATGGAGCTATGAGGGCCCTGCCTGGGCCCGCTGACCTCCTCAATCCCACCCCACTGAGCCTAGCCAGGTGGGTACCCACCTTCCGCTCCAGACGCTCTTGGTCGAAGGCCAGCACGCTGAGACTATGCAGGGGCCGGGCTGATCTATGGGGTTGGGGAGGGATGAGGGGCTGCAGGGATACCCCATCCCCGACCCCGTTAATTCAACAGACACACCAGAGAACAGAGGGAGATAAGCCAGGCCCACCTCAGTACTGCTTGAGCCAACAACCTAATAGGGACAATGACTGTATACCACGTGTCAGGAAGGGCTTCCTGGAGAAGGTGACAGTCAAGTTGGTACTCAAACACAGTTGGGCAGAGGAGCAGGGAGCAAGTGTAGGGATACAGGTGCTCAGTGCACTATAACACAGAGAAGCCCAAAGGCCAGTGAAAACTAAGTGTAGCCAGGAACCAACAGGAGGAAGCGGGGAGAAAGCTGGATATATGACAACGGTCAGATCACAAAAGATCCTAAAGATCAAGCTGAGGAGTTTAAATGAGATGTTCCAGGAAAAGGGGAGCCAGGAGAGGTTTTGGAGTGGGGGAGGGACATGCTCCACTTTGCGCCTGATGGGAAGCTGTCCAAGAAGAGCTGAGGCAAGAAGAAGGGGGGTCTCCCCAGCACAGCCTGGCCCAGCCACCTACCTGTTCCCTGGCTCCCTCGTAGGAGCAGGCAAGGCGGGGGCCTTTCCCTTGGACCCAGAAACCTGCTTCAGGGGACAGAATCAGTCTTGTGAGTCTCGGCCCTCCTTGAACCAAACCTCCCTCCCTCGGGCTACTGATGAGCAGGGGTCTCACTGTGGGCACAGCTGCCGGCACAGGGTCAATGACCAGCCACCTCTCAGTTGTCGTCTCCAACTGCTGGGCCGTCAGGGGTTCCCGAATCCGAACCATCACCTCCAGCCGCCCCCCTGTGGGCCTGCGACCATCCAGGACCTGGGTGGGAGTGAGGGGAGGCTGTTAGGAAGCAGGCAGTGACTCAGGGCCAGAATCAGGGAAAACCAGAGCAATTTCCAAAATAGGAGCCCATGGGTACAGCTGAGACATGAGCTGGTCAGAACAAGCAGAGAGCTGAGAGTGGTTAGGGCTGGGCAATGGGGAGCTCTGGGACTCCAGGGGAGGGCCTGGGTCAGTGGAAGGGACCCCTGGGAGGCTCAGAGCAGGAGCATGTGAGTGACGCTCATGAGTGGCATGGCTACACTGGAGCATTCAGATGAAGTCCACCTCTCACCTCAAGGATCTCCCGGACCTCGCATGCCGTCTCCAGGGCATCCAGCTTCAGTTGGGCTGTGCCCAGGACCCGGTCGGTCTTGAAGAGCCCCCTGTGTGTGTGGGAGGGGACAGGATGGTGGGCCCAGGGCAGCTCCCCCTCCTCCAGAGCCCATGCAACACCGGCGGCCCCAGCTCACCCCTTGTGGACCACTTCGAACTTGATGCCTTTGGTCTGGATGGCCCTTCGGAAGCCACGGTGACTGCGGTTGATGCAGAGTTTGAACTGCTCCTTGAACTCTGCCAGGGGAAGGAGGAAGGAGGGAAGGGTCAGGCTATGGTTCCACATTCTTTCTGCAAGGGGACTGCCTCCTGCCAAGGCTCACCAGGGGAATCTGTGTTCTTGATCACGCTGGTCTTGTCTTTCTGAGCTTCTTCCTGGGACCAGGCAGGAGGCAAAAAAACTCAGGGGCTGGGGCCTGCACTTGAACCCCTGATGGACCCACTCCCCAGCCTGATGGGGCCTGAGCCTGTCCCTCCCCAGCTCTCTACATACCACATTGGGATAGGGGAAGTCGAACCGAACAAAGACATCCAGGTCACCGGGGGACAGCCCTGTGGGCAAACAAGGGTCAAAGCTGGGCAGAGGGGTGGCCCCCACGTCCCCACCCCTGCCTGCCAGCCCCTCACCTGGGGGTGTGGGCAGGTTGATGCCCTTCACGATGAACAGGAGCATGTCGTTGCTGCTGAGGTCAGGGAAGATCCTTCCAGGAGGGCAGGTGGGAGACAGGCATCTCAGTGTCATTGCCTGCCCGCCCTTCTCTGCCCTCAGCAGGGCAGGGTATAACCCCCACCCCAGGCTCTAGGCCTGAGTTTTAAAACTAGCCTAGAATTCTCCATCCAGGTCCACCACTGGCTACATTTCAAGTCCTTTCTTCAGTCGGCACAGATTTATTTGGGACCTACTATGTGGCCTCAGTGCTATGGGACCTTTCCTTCCTTGCATAAGATTTCTGGAATCTTCTAGAGTTCACCAACAAATGACCTAACTGCTGTGGGGTCTTCTCTTCCTTGGACAATGCTTCTTGTACACCTACTATATGCCAGCCAATGTCCTCACTGCTGGGGATGCAGAAGTAAATGAGGGAGACCCCATCCCTGTGCTCATGGAGCCCGGGCCAGCTGAGTGGACAGATGGCCAATGAACACGTAAGTAGAGAAACAAACAAAACAACAACTCTGCAGAGAATTAAATCAGGGGAGAGAGTGGAGTGTGCTCAGGAGGGTTGGGCTGCTTCTGACAGAGTGGTCAGGGAGGGCTTCTCAGGGGAGGTAACATCGTAGTTCACTCTGAACATCAAGAAGAGACCGCTATGTGCAGACCTGAGGAACAAGGTCTGAGCAGAGGAAACAGCTGGTGCAAAGGTCCTGAGTGGGAACGTGGCTGGTGAGTCTGATTAATCAAAACGAGGTCTGTGTGGCAGGAGATGAGTGAAGTGGGGACAGTGGGAGGAGATGAGGTGACAGGGAGCCAGGGTGTGCAGGTGTGGGGGAGCCAGGGTAAGGGATGCGGGTTATCTGAGGTGGTGACCTCAGGTTATCCCAGTGGCTGCACCTAACTTCATCTGTAAGTGGGGGAAATGGTCCCGACTCCCTGGGGTGAGAAGACTGAACAGGAGCACGACCAATAACAACCATCCCACAAGCTTGTCCAGGCCTTTGGGATGAGGCACATCTCTGCACTCACTAGATCGTCCCCATTTCCAAACATGTCACTGTCAATACCCCATCACCATCTTTCACTCGGAGGCATGTCATGTGTGCCTCAGGACCCTTGCATGTACTGTGCTTCCACCACCCACCCAAACTCTTCTCCAGAGACAAGTCCTCTGCTGGCTTCCAGGGAGCACAAACCCCTCTCCAAAGGGGGTGCCCAGGCCATGGGGCACCGGGGCCTTACTTGATGACGCTGAAGGTTCTCTGCTCAAAGCGAGCTGTGGGCGTAGGGAGACCCCGGGCAAAGGCCTGCTTCAGAATCTCCATGCTCCGCTTACAGTCCTCCGCCAGTTTCTCAAATCTGCCAGCAAGAGGGCCCTGCTCAGGTCCCTGGTCTCAGGGCCAGGCTAGGGGTGCAGAAGTCTGGTGGGGATGGGGGCAGGACTTCTTACTTGGTGGTTTCTGCAATGTTGCCCAGGTGGGTGAACTGGTTGGAGTGGTTCAGGCACATCTGGGGGAGCAGAAGACAGTGAGGGGAGGGT